TTGAAGGCCCTTTATATGCTTTTGGCATATTAAATGAAGAATGCACTGTATTTAGTGTCATTCAGTCTGTTCCAACTCATATTGACCCTGTAAAGGCTTTTCAAGGAGTAGCGGAAGGGTTAGAACCACTGACAATGCAGTTAGTAATCCAGTGCTTGTCTTACAGTGCCACACCAGGACATGCCTCTAATTGTTTAGTGGTTACTGTGTTAAGTGCCATCATGTTGGTTCTTTCTCAAAGTGACCCTGTATAGGGTTTCCAAAGAGCATCTGGTAGGTTTGAACTGCTGACCTTGCGGTTCTAAGTTCAGTGCTGGTTCTACAGGGCCTCATTATGAGTCCATACTGTAGATTGCTAAAAAAAATTTTTTTATGGGGGTGGAGGGGATGGAGTGGAATTCAGATTGGAAAACCAGTTACCAAAGACATCTAAAGTGGGGGAAATCCATTTTTCTTTCCTTCAAGACCCCTTAGATTTGGGGTGGGGAAGCAATGCTTTTGCTGTTGTTAAGTACATGGAGTCGATTCCCGACTCATAGTGACCCTGCACAGGGTTTCCAAGGTTGTGAATCTTTATGGGAGCAGAAAGCCTCATCTTTCTCTTGTGGAACTGCTGGTAGTTTTGAACTGCCGACCTTGAGGTTAGCAGCCCTATTTGTAACCACTATGCTACCAGAGCTGCTGGGGAAGCAATGTTGTTGTTGTTAAGTGACGTCGAGTCGGTTCCAACCCATAGAGACCCTGTACAGGGTTTCTGAGGGTGTAAATCTTTACGGAAGTACAAAGCCTCAACTTTCTCCCGCGGAGTGGCTGGTAGTTTCGAACTGCTGAACCTTAAGGTTCACAGCCCGATTCATAACCACTATACTACCAGAAGCAATAGAAGGGAGAAAAGTGACAACCTGAATGGAAATCTCCTATCTGTCAGAGTTGATAGAATTCCAGTGAGCCTCTTTAATCCTCACCATCTGGAAATTATGTTTGATTTCTAATTAGGAGAATGTTGTTCTATGATCTCTTAGAATGACTTTGGCTTTGGGGAAAATACAGGAAATCGGATTGAGATTGTTGTTGTTAAGTGTCATTGAGTCAGTTCCAACTCATAGTGACCTTATACATGGTTTCTGAGGAGCGTCTAGTGGGTTTGAACTACCAATCTTGCATTTAGCAGTTCAGTACTTATCCTCCAGCACCACACCAGGACTCCAGAATTGATATTACTTCTGCTAAAAGGAATCCCAAGGAACTCTGGTAACATAGTGGGTTAGCAGCTGGGCTGATAACCACAAGGTCAGTAGTTCAAATCTTTCAGTCACTCCGCAGGAGAAAGATGATACTTTTCAAGTGACACTGTGAGATAAAGCACTACACTACAAGGTCAGTTTGAACTGCAGGGCAGGTGATTCAAACTCGCCAGCCGCTCCTCAGAAATGCTATTCAGGGTCACTATGAGCCGGAACCGACTCCATTGCACACAACCACCACCACCACCAAAAGGAGTCCTGGTGTGGTGCTATAGGATAAGCAGTGTTCTGCTAATCACAAGGCAGTGCTTCCAACTCTCCAGTCACTCCCTGGAAACTCTATACAGGGTCACTGTGACTCGGAACCAACTCTACAGAGAAGCACTTAACAACAACAACAACAACAATGGATAGTAGGAAGTAGAGGAGCTTGAGACAGAAGTTTGACTCAAGGTAGAAATCTAGAACTTAGCTTTTAAGACTATGTTAATATAAATGACCTAAAAAGAGAATCCTAAAAAGAGAATCTTGTGGAACGAGAGATATCATTGCAGATGTCTGATGGATCTTGGCTGAATGCAGAGAATATCAGAAGGATGTTTACCTGTGCTTTATTGACTATGCAAAGGCTTTCGATTGTGTGGATCATGACACGCTATGGACAACATTGAGAAGTATGAGTATTCCAGAACACTTAATTGTACTTCTGAGAAATCTGTACCTGGACCAAGAGGCAGTTGTTCGAAC